GATCAACTGCAGGTGTCTCCAGTCCATAGAAATGCAGATGTTGCACTTTCTGAGTCCTACTGGGCTCCAGGACCTCTTTGCATTCCCACTCTGCCCACAGCAGCCCTGAAGGATAAGGGCTTCTGAGAAACATTCCCAGCTGGAGGAGAAGCTGTCAAAGTGACAGGCAGCAGATCCCCAGGAGAAAGGTGAAAGTGGAACCTTTGCCTACAAGAAGCTGCAAACTTTTGCCAGAGAATGTCCTGGGGCTCTGTGGCCCTCAGAAAAGAACTGTAGACTTAAACTGGGTTAAGACACCATTTGCAATGGGGATTTAATGCTTCACACAGTTCAAAAGGGTCTGAAGCCTCCCTGATCCAGGATGAGACCCGAGGACTACAGAGAGGTAAAACGATGGCTGAGCACAATATATGGACCTCACTAAGTTAAAGTAAGAAAACAATGAAAAAAAATAAACCAAAAAGCAAAACAGATTAGAGCAGAACCATCATGACAAAATACCAAGCAAACCCACAAATCTCAGATTTCCTCATGGTGACCAAATTGAACAACACTTAAAGAACCATTGGCAAAGAAATGTTAACCAGCTCAACTTTTCTAAAACCCAGTGTTCTCTTTCAGTAGCATCCAGGTGAAGAGATTTTCAGGAGTTAGCAGAGTAGTTTAGATTTTCAGTTGAACGCTAGACATCATCATCATCCTGTTAGTGAACTCTTCCACAGAAATGCAAGTTAGTTTTCTGAAGAGCTGGACGTAGAAGTTATTCTACAGTTAACATAAACCTAGCAGAGAAATAACCATGGTGATGCCTAGACAAACATGAGAGACTCTGAAATAAAACAAAAAACACAATACAAGCCCATACAACCATTTGAAACATGCAACCAAATCACTTAGATTTACAAAAAGCTGTTATATGATGTAAGTTGATTAAATATTGTAAATATTGGCATTTTGTGTAAATAAAAGTGCTGATGGTGAAATTGGTTCCTTATGCTCTTTTTCCAAACTGGGATTGTATTGCAGCTGATGTAGTAAGATGTAGAAATACTGAGAAAAAAATCAAGCAATTAATGTTTGTGATAGTAAAAAATGCCATACTTTCTTCCATGTACTTAGTAGGGAATGGTGTGTTAGCTCTCACCCCTAAATCATCTGACTCACTTGGAATCCTTTGAAAAAACTGAATTATTGAACATGTTGGACCAAGTATTCTCCAAAGTTTTGGCACTGAATCTGATGCTGAACTCCCTGAGGATGCAAGGGATCCTGAACTTAAAACTATCAAAAAGTTTAACTGCCACTTTACATCAGACCTTGAGGGCTTTTTAAGGTCTCTCTTTTGCACCTCTTAGAGTTGAACATCTTGGATCGCCAAGGTACACAGAAGGAGGAATAACTCTTCTGCAGGTGAGCCCTCTCCCAAGATGCCAGAGCAGACACAAACACTGTCTGTGCTTTTGTTGTGTCTTATTTCTTGGGTAATAATTTTGATAATAAAGTAATGGGATCCTTCTCAAATACTTTTCAATCCGTCTGAGAGCCCATGCACTTTGTCTTATTCACTGTAATAAATGTAACTTCAGTTATAGCTTTGGGGGTTACAGGCCTGCTGCTGACTGGTCTGGATCAGAAGAACATCTTTTATGACTCGAGTTTCTTAGGGCTGTATTAAAAGGAGAAAGGGTGTGAATCAGAAACTTCAAACAAACAAGGCCCCACAAGACAACAGGAGTTGCACAGAAGAGGTGAGGAGATGCTCACAATGAACAGCTTCCAGGCATGTGAGCCCCTTGTCTGACACACATGTGACCTTTACCTACGAAGATAAAAATTTCCTCACCCACAAGGCACATTTGTTGTGTGACTCAGCATGACCCAGATCTGGCTAACAGATCCTTGGGGCCAGGGGTGAGAATGGACAGGGATGCATCATTGGGAAGGGCCAGGAGCATTGAGAAAATGGAAGTCCACAGACTCTGCAGCCTGGATGTGAGCACCTGCATACTGAGCCATATGTTCACATCAGCTGTTGGCTCTAACACTGGGTGGAGAGAGAGCTTTGGCTTGGGGGAATGAATCTCTGAAGGTTTTTCTTATCCTGAACTGGTGAGGCCCTGGCACAGGTTGCCCAGAGAAGCTGTGGCTGCCCCATCCCTGGAGGTGTCCAAGGCCAGGTTGGATGGGGCTTGGAGCAACCTGGGCTAGTGGGAGGTGTCCCTGCTCATGGCAGGGGGTGGATTGAGATGAGCTTTAGGGTCCCTTCCAACACAAACCATTCTATGAAAACAATAACAGTCTTGGGAGGAATTTTTTAGCTCCTAGGCCAGTATTTAATGTGAAGAATACTCCCTTAGACAAAAATGGTGTAATCAGAGGGACAGGAGGGAAAGGTCAAAGCACAATCATCACTAGTGATTTTAGAATCATTTTCTGTGCTATAAAAATGCTCATTTATACTGATGCCGTAAAATGTTGATGCTAAAAAATAACTCAGGAGTAGTTAATTGAGGGTGAGATAAGGAAAGGGTTTTAATTTGTGCCAAGGCAATAGATGTTACAAGACGCACGCTGACTGTGCCTGAGATATCACATTTTATAATACAATCCGTCCAATCCCAAGTGTGTCCACCCTGTAGCCTTTGCTCTGGTCTGCCCCAAGTCCACCCCCGGAGAATTGGGTCTGGGGGCCTTTGGGACCACCTCTTCATCATTCTCATCATCCTCAGAGCACAAAGAGTGCACAGTCACCTAGTTCTTGACTCTGTTCTGTTGTTCAGGCCTAGATGTGAGTGTTCTCTAAACAGTCTAGGCCTTGCCTTGACAAGAGACTAAACATTTCTACTGGATTCGGGGGTCGGATTGATATGGGGTGCATGGAATGGGGTAAGAGAGTTAAGGAATGTGTAAACTACTTACCCTGTGCTACAGGGTAAGGGAATGAGGGCTGCTGCTTTTAAAATCTACTTCTACTACTCATAAAACTTATAAAGCTTGCAAAAATTAGAAAAATAAAAAAACTAATAGGGGCTAAAGGCATCAATACCTTTGAATAACTAATGGTCCTAATAATTATACTTTTAAACTAGACTTTCTTCTTTGAAATTCCTAGGCAAACATTCTTCGTATGAGGAAGATATCACAGAAATACAGAATGATTGAGGTTGGAAGGGACCTCTGGGGGTCATCTGGTCTCCCCTGCTCAGGCAGGACTATCTGGAGCTGTTTCTCGAGGACCATGTCCAGGTGGCTTTTAAATATCTCCAGGGACAGTGGTTCCACCTCTGGAGATATTCAAAGGCTCTCTGAACACAATCAAATATGGACACAATTAAATCTCAAGGAGAATATAGATAGTACTGTTAAAAGGTATTGTACCAAAGAGTTCAGCTTAGAATCGTCCTCCATTTTTCTGGTATCTCTGGATTTCTCACTGGACAATTTGGTTTTTTCCGATTTTGGGATAATTCCAAATGCAAAGGTGCTGGTTTAACATTTTACTGTGGAGCACAATTTCTCTACAAAAGCTTTCCTTAGATCATATGAGCTGGGAGAGCTGCAGACTCTGTCCTCTTCTGTGGAATTAGTCACACTAACACAATCTTACTATTGGACTGTACAAAAGCTCCCTATTATGGGGTTTCTTCTGGAAACAATTCTATTCTCCTGTTTTCTTAAGATCTATGTCCTGTAATTCAACTATGTATGCAAACGTAAAGTGAAAAGCCACTGCTCAGTGGGAGGCAATCAGGAGGCTTCTCATGAAATGAGTGGCTGAGGTCGATTAAACACTCACTGTCAAAGATGTCAGCAAAAGCAGGTTTAATAGAAATTTGCAAAAGCTCAGCAAAGTCCAACAGCAATGGTCACTCTATTTATTAAACATACACAGGAACATCGAATTAGAATTAATTTAGAATGATTTCTGCAGAGACTGGGGGGAGCAAAAAGAAGGTAGAGTTGTTAGAGAGAGACCATCCCACTGAGTCACAAGGTACAGAAAGGACCCCCTTGTTTTCTCAAGTGCCTCTCAGGGGAGGTGTGGATCGAACCATTCCTAGTCCCAGACTTGATCAACAGTTTATGTAAAAGATTATAACAGCACTCAATCACTGACCTTTCCCTCCTGTCCACCTGATTACACCATTTTTCTCTAAGGGAGTGTTCTTAAAAGTTAAATCTGCCTGAGAGATTGAGAAAAGGTGTGGAGTGTAAGATGAAAACGTTCAGAGTGTCATCAGAAAATCAGGATAAAAATACTAGTGAGCGACTCCCCCTGATTTACATTATGGTGGTAGGATGCACTAAACAAGCATTTTACTGGATTTGGATTTGCCAGGCAAATTTCACTTCTCTTCTGCATAGGGTGAGGGTCTTCCTCCAGGGGTCTGCAGGGTCTGAGGGACAACCTGACAAAGCTTAATGAAGCAGACCTTGCAACGTTCTCTGCAGAGCCTGTCTTGAAGCCAGCAGTAACTCAGCCAGTATGAGAAAAGCCTTATTTCTCCTCCAGGATGTGGTGAACTTGTTTTTCCAAACAAGGGGAGGGTTAATCTTGCACGGTGCAACTGAGTCAGAAATGTTGGCCACAACATCCTGGCCCTTGCTTGTGACAAAAAGGTGGGCTGGGGCATGTGTGTGGTGGGGTCTATTAGTTCATAACCAAGTTGCTGTGGAAACTATCACCTCATCAAACCTCCACATATTATTTCCTGTTGGCCTCTTCCTCATATCACTGAGTGGAAAAAAACAGCATGTTTTCTTCTCTTCTGCTCTGTGTGTCTCCCTCCCTCATGCTTTCAGCAAGCTATCTCTTAATTGAAGCTTCTGAATGGCCCAAGAGATACTTCCCTGCACAAAGTCTAGAAAAGACAAATCCAGCCAACAGGAAATCTGGGTTATCAAAGCTGTATTTCTAATCTCAGTGGTCATTAGGACAGTTGGGTTCCAGCAACGTCCATCCCAAAATCATAAGAAAAAGCACAGAACAAACCACAGCATTTTGGTCAAGGAAAATTTTATTTTCATCACTATTACAGGAAACTAAAATGCATGTGGGATACATTTTGCAGAAGAAATACAGGTTTAAGAAAGAAATGCTTCTATAGTTGAACATTATCTGTTTGAATTGGATCACTTCTCAGCCATGATAGGAAATTATTGTTAATAAAGCTGTCTAAAAACCAAAGCTATAAATGGCAACTATTGTGCCTGAATTGTCTCTGCAGTAACACACCAGTTCTACAGACGGTAACACAACATGCCTGTGAAAGCTGATTTAAAATGTTATATAGCTCTCTCTATATCTATATGTATCAATAGTGAGGATTGGGTTTTTCTACAACTATTGAGGCCTGTTGGACATTCCTGTGTAAATGCCAGAACAGTGGAGAGATCTACTCAGCAGGAGGATGAGGAGAAATGCACTCTCCTCAGTGCACAGAGAAAAAGAAATAGCAAAAGCAGTTACAACTCTTAAATCTAAATGAACTGGCTGGGCAGGATTGAACAGCATCAAATGTCTAAAGGGGAAGGGGCTGTGTTGTGTTCTGGGTGCTCACTGTCAGCAGATGTGACACTGCTTGTCCAGCCCGTTGTGCTGCTGGTTCACGTTCTTTCCTGCAGTTCTTCAGGTCCCTCTTGCCTTGACTCCACATGTCTGGAAGAGCAAAGGGTGTTTTAAACCACATTTAATGCAACTGGAGCAATAAACCACTGTTTGAGAGCTGTCCGATCAAGACAGGTACACTACAAAACTTAGGCTGGACTATCTTTTGTGCCTCTTTGGACACTTTAATTTGAAAATCCCCCCTGCCTCCCCTCTCTTTACTCCCACAGGTTTGTGTTTTGGGATCCTTGCTTCTGAATCTTTATTTGTCTGGAGTTTTCTCCAGGCTTTGTGCTCTGACACTTGAAGTAGTGAAGGAGGTACCTCTTAGGCTCTTCAGGCAATGCCTGAGTTGCTCGGGCAAAGAAAATTTGGGAACCAGCCACCAGGAACTGAGCTCTGGATACAGAAAAGTGTTGTTTCCTTTGTCATGTGGGAGGCAGGGTGGGCTTCTCTTATTTGTTTTTTTTTGGAGAGGGGCCTGGTATAGGTGCTTTTTGTGGGTTTTGCTCATCGTTGTTTTTTTCCCCAGAAACCTGCAAGAGCTATTCAATGGAATCAGGAGCAGATGAATAGGTGTCGTTACCTGTGGGGTTAGAGAAGTACACACAGACAGGCAGTCACTCCTGCCACATGCTTCCAGTATCTCTACAAATCAAGCTGAGTGCTTCCTTACCTCAGAAAAGAACCAACTTGATACTCATGAGTGTATTGAAGGCAATGCTTTTTGCCAGCAGGACTCTCAAACCCAGCACAGCCACAGACAGCATGTTCACTCTCTGCACTGTGGTACCTGCTCAGGGACAGCAAAAAGAGGAGAGAGACCATGGTCTAAGTTTGGATGTTGGGATCTTGGCAGAAAGTGGAAAAAGCCACAGGTAATAGCTTCAGGGAAAGGAACGGCAGCAGAGGAAGAGATGCCAGAGAACATGGCAACACCAGGGGAGGAGGGTGTCTGTCTCCATTGCTTTTTGCTTCCTGTTGCTTGTGTGTTCCTACAGCAGCAACCTTGAAAAAGCAGCTTGTGTTTGATAAATATGTCATAATCTGTCTCCTCTCCCCTTGAGAAATTACCTTTCTATGCATTTATCCCCCAACCAGCAATGTAACTTCACAATCTGTTTCGGTCACTAACCTTGGGCAGAGGTGTCTGTGCCGTTGCAAACCCTGTTACTGGTCCTCGTTACTGGTTCTTCAGCCTCCTTTTCTGTAGAATGATAAAGAAAAGGCATTTTAACCCATATCCAATTTTTAGAAAGTATTAAAAAACTATTCCTATGGCCCTTTCCATAGGGACATGTGGGAAGTAGAGTCTGGGGCTCAGATGATCAGTCACTAATTCCAACATAAATCAGAGGAGACAATTTCTCCCTGCAGTTGCAGGAAACAAAAGAATTTCTAGGTTGTTTCGGTTTTCCTATTTGAATGACCTTCAAGATGATAAAAACAATCGCACAAAATATAAAAAGTGATTTAGTAAAAACCAAAACCAAATCACACCCCCAGTTTAACTTTTTGTTGGCTTTAGAAAGGCTGTTTCAGGTTGTGCTCCAGGAGGTTTGCTGCTGCAAATAAAATAAACTCCCATTTTTAAAAAAATGGATTGTGCCTTCTCTCCTCCCCCATCAAAAGAAAAGTTTCTCCAATTTATTAAACAGTTGAGACCATTTCTTTTAGATGCTTTTAAACATCTTTCATCTTTCCCTGCTTAAGTACCAACTGTCTCTCTTGTTTCTGCTGCCCACCCTGGGCAGTGCAGACTATCAGGGAAGAGCAGCACCACAAGACACTGTCTCCACAAATATGTTCCAGCTGTGCCCCCAAGTTGTACCTGACAATGCTGTAATGGTGCCAATGTCCAAATGGGCCTTGCAGGTCACCTCTGTGTCTTTTGTCACACTGACCACCTTCATAGCACTGTACAGCCCCTCTGATGCCAGAATGGGTGTGCTCTGTTCATACACGACCTCATCAGAGGACATCTCCAAGCTGATGTTCTTTGTACTCAAATTCCTTGCCAAACAAGCTGCTTTCCCAGTGCTGCCTCCTTCTTCCAGTTTCTTTGATTTTATCACAATGACTTGTGGGACAGAATGTTTTGGACTGCCTGTAAAAAAAAGTATGGTTTGGGCATGATGGATTTTACTGCAAGCCTGCCTGAGAGCTAAGTCATGAAAATTAATAGACACACCACCTGGGACTGATTTGTAGCATTATCAATGACCAACTGCCTTTTTTTTTTGCCATTACTTGTTGCTGTTGCTTCCAAAAGATCAAATTAGAGACAGAAAGGGTGTATGAGAGCAGGTATTTTATAGGAGATTTAATTCCACAGGATCTCAGCTTCCTTTTGCCAAAGCTGGTGCCTGTAAGTGAATTCTTCATTTTATAAATTAAGGACCTGCAAAGGAGAAGGGAACTTTTGTGCATGTCACTCCAAGAGTCCAATTATTCTGCTTTCTCAACAATTTAATTCCAAACAATGTCAACTCTATGAGGACTGCCTTGCATATTCGTGAGACATGAGGGAATAAATGTTTTTCCCTTTACTCTCCCTCCCCTCCCCAAATCTCCTGTTGTGGTTGAAAGGTGCAACCACAGCAGGAGTGGCAGGGAGAGCAGAGGTCAGTTTGTTGCCTCACTGCTGTGCAAGGTTCCCCCTCTGAGTGACGTTACTTGCAGAAATGAAGTCCTGCTGCTGCAGGGGGGGACAAGGCTGAGCTTTTCCATAACAAATGCTCAGGTGCAAGAAGGACTTCTGTCTGTAAGATGGGAAAGTAGGAGAGAAGCAATCGAAAGTCTGTGAATTGTATACCTCCACACAGAATCACAGAATCACAGAATCACAGAATGGGTTGGGTTGGAAGGGACCCTAAAGGCCATCTGGTTCCAGCCCCTGCCATGGGCAGCGATGTCACTCACTAGTTCTGCTCCAGAAGTTCCTGACAAGGCCAAGAACTTTCATTGTGGGGGAGGTTTCCCCCCCTAGACATTGCACAAGGTGTAAGACATTCCAACCAGGCTGCAGGCGATGAGGAGAGAACAGGATTGGTCCTTGGTTCAACAACTCTTGTGCCTGTTCCAGAAAGTGTGGCCATTCTCACCCCTGTGCTGTGCCGTGTCGTCAGACCCACGGCTCCGGAGCAGGGGGAAGTGTAATGCAGAGTTTGTTTAATAAACTGATTGGAGAGAAAGAATATCCTGGGACCTACAAACATGATGCTCATGGACAAATCTTACAATATTCCTTCGAGTGGTGTAATAACCTTCAGTGGTGGTCCTTTAGCAATAAAATACCAACAAACATCGAGACACGAAAACGAGAGTTTAGACAGAATCTAAAAGATGCTGACAACTTTTCACAGGATTTGAGATGGTTGCTCTGATCCGTCAGAAATTTGGTTACTCTGAAATGTTAGATGTATTTTTTCAGTTTTGAAAGAATTTTAGAGTTGAATTCCCCTGGAAATACATGAATGGCAAGAGGTTGACAACTAAAACAGACTGAATTTCAATGGTATAGCAGAAGCCTTCTCTGGGAATTTCTTAGAAGACATACAAGTAATGAAATAAGATTGCTTTACTTCCAGGAGCTGTCTTTTATGGTAACAGTTGGTCTCAAAAGAATTTTGTAACCAAAAAATCATTGTGATACCATGGGGCTTTTTTTACACAAAATATCTTTTCCTTCAGGTCAGGCCATATTTGGAGAATCCAGGATGACTTCACAAACCAATGTCAGGACTTTATTCAGATTAGTAATTTGAATTATAGTAAAAACATGTAACTGAAAGGAATCCTCTATCACCCTTCCTTGCCAGAAAGGCTTAGCTTATGAAAGGCTGTCAGACATACTAAAAGAGATTCACATGTTTAATTTGACAGGAGCATCCTGGTGGGTCTCTTTGCTAGAGAGGAGCATCAGGGGGTTAATTTTGCATGGTGTCTGCCTTGCAGTCTGGTCAAGGGATCTCTCATATCAAACATCTTGTGCATCAGAGGACACTTCACCAAAGTTTGATCAAGGAGCTCTGATTTTACACTCTTTCCCCATCACCCTAAAGTGGTAAGGAACTGAGGTGAAAGCCAAATCGTGCTCTGCCACAACTTCAGGGGTCAGCTCTGCTGATAAATCAGTCAAAACTACACTCTTGTCCACACCTACAGCAACCAGACACCCCACAGAAATCAGACATTCATCGGCAGGAAAAAAAGGCAAAATTCAAACAATAACAACTCAGAAAAGGATAATGCATAAAGGACACCTACTTGGCTCCACAGTCAGTTGAGTTCCTTTCCCAAAGACAAGAGCAGCAGTTACACACAGTTAAAACACATACATCAAAAAAGGCTTGTTTTACTATTCTTCTTACACACATTTCCTTCCCAGGTGTTGTAACATGGTTTGCCAGAGCATTGTGCATTCTGCATTATCTGAGAAGATCTTTAAAGGCTTTTCATGTTTTCTCCTCTCCAGTATTTCCAAACAGCCACTACACTAACAAGCTGCTTCTCTGCAATAACTCACTGGGCAAGATCTTCAGCAAGAAACGTACATATTGCAATTGAAGTTAGTAAAGCAGAATAATTTTTTATCAGACCCCAGAAGCCTCAACTGAGTCCCATCATTTTGCATTACCTGAAAATACAGCCATGAATTCCTACATCTGCTTGTGTTTGGGAGATATCTCTGTATTACATTCTGGGATTTTATTAGGACAGAAAGTTGTACTTCTCTTTCATTTTAGTCTAATGAGGTCACAGGAAGAGTCATATATTCTGTAGAGTCATGGGCCTTAGTATTCTTAATGGAAGTTTTGTCTGGAATAAACCAACCCCCACCAAAAGAAAAACCTTGTCTATCCTCAAGAGAATATGACTGAGGTATTCTATAGTAACACTAATGGTTGTTATTTGATGTCATTTTGATTTGGAACGATTCTCAAAAGATTTGGATAATAAAGTATATCTACTCTAAACATCTTAAAATGCATATTAGTAGCTCCCAAAGAAAATCAAAACCAAAAGAGTGAGGTTGTTCACATTCTGGAAATTTAGGCTTCAGCTTATTAAGTATTTCAATGGACACTGAGAGACTTAGATACTTAGGGCCCAATATCTTTTACTGTCACACATAATCTGAAAGTCTTCATGCAGCTTTGAAAATATCTCATCTTTAGCTACAAAAAGAAAATCATTAACAGCACAGAAAGAATAGGTTTTTCTTCAAAAGCATAACTTGGCATTCCTTTGTCCCTTTGGAATCGGAAGTGGGCTGAGATTGTTCCAAAACAGACATTTATTCCCATGCAACATCTCCTACAGGCATGGGCAGATATTAGGCA